TTTTTTCTGAATTTACTTCTAGCCCCACCTGTCTACTAGCCTCTAGTAAAACTTCTGCGTTCCTCTTTATTGTATTCACATCGTCCCCCAATAAATTAAAATCATCAGCATATGCCAACAGCCGATGTGTCCCATTCAATTGAAAACCCTCCTGCCTATCTTGGACTTTCCTGATGGCGTATTCTAGCGGAAAGTAATAATGTAATAACAAAGTAATCTGCCAGAAAGCAAGATATTTAGTAATGTAAATAAAAGCATATATAGAAATTTACATTAAGTATGCTTTGAATTTTGTGTGAAATTTCGAAGAGCACTGTTACTATAATGATATTGAAAAGTAATGGGATAATGTTTGATTGCAGAGTCATGAAGAGAAACCCAATTCAGACATTATTGTCAAAAGAGACAGGCAAGGAACATCTCTCAGCGTCACGTTTTCAAAACAGAGAACAGCAGATTGAGGAACTAATACACGCGCAAGAGTGCGCTCCATGTCCGATTATAGTTTTACATATGAATACATCAGATGATGTGACAGTTGTTCGGAAGAAGCTAGATGACATTGATAAAGTCACCGCAGATTTCGAGATGAGAAAAATTAATGACACTATGAAAGGACTGAATGAATTTTTTGTAAAGATCTCATCTGAAAATGTAAAGCTACAAAATACAATGACAGAAATGTTGCAGCAGTACAAAAAAATTACAAAAATTGCAGAAGGTTTGAATGACACTGTAGCCAAAATATCATCTGGCAATGCGACACAGCTTCTTAAAATGGCACAGTTGGCAGAACAGCAACACAGAGAAGTAAGAAAAAAAGATCTGAAGCATGAAATTAATCAGCCTAATAACTTTGTTCAGAAGAAAAACATCACAGTTATGAGAATTAACAAAGCAGATGAACATCGAAGTGTCTCAGAAAGCAGTGAAATCAAGGACAAGCAGGTAAGTCATTTATTTCCAGTTTCTATAAACCTAGCCCCCTCCGCCCAATTGGCACATTCATCGCCCTGATGACGGAGGTCATACTGCCACCGAAACATTAGTAAACATCTATGAGACTACAGAGCGCAACAACCCAGAAGACAGAAATCTTCATTTTCATCCTGTTGCGATAGTCTGAGGAGGTTTAAACGGAACTTCAACGGAAGTTGGCTGGCTGCTTTGTGGGTTGCTGTGCTGTGGAGTCTGATAGAATTTACCGACGTTTGAGAGGTGCCTCGGTGATGATGGAGGCAGCGGTCACCACCAAAATGTCCCTATACTTTTACCAAATTACACAGCACAATAGCCCAGAAAGCTGCCATCTTCATATTTATCACCATTAGAACCTCAAAGGCGTCTTGAGAGAGGACACAAAACGGTAGTGAATGTTTTGGATTTTACAACAGCTGAGCTAATCCTCGTAAAGGTTTCTGATGTATAAAGTGAAGCTTTTACGGCGAATGAAGTTGATGAATTTCAGCTGAGCTATTAATTCGCTTCTGATGGAATGCTCTGGTTCGTGGAATTTGGTATTGAACATTTCATATGCACTTGTATTGGGGATGATGATATTCTGGTTTCTGGTGCCATGTGGGTTGCTTATGTTAATGTTTTGAAGAAGCCGTGGATATGGAGATGGTATACTTCCCTGAAACGTTTCCATCTACCAGCCTTTCCGCATGTCACCAGAACCTAGGTGGATAATCATCATCATCACCGTGATAATCTCAAATTTTGTATTAAGGACTTCTCTAGTGGGTCCTTGGATACACAAGGACTCCAAGATGGCGGTCACCCTATTTATCTGCTGTCCGCAACTGTTAAACAACTGAAAGTTCACTATTAGATTTCTATAACTTTCTCAGTGCGATAACCAGACATGAAACATGTCAGTGCATAATGCCTGTCATCTTCATCCTTTCCAGGATCCTGCTAAGCCTAACAAAAAAGATTTCCAGAACATCGTTAGTCCTGTCAGGAAAACCCAGGCACTGACCAAGCATCAAACAGATAAAAACCCATTAAAAAATGGTGAAGATTCCAAATTACTTAAATCCGAACCAGGTACATGACAGAATCTGTTATCGATTTGTATTTCTTGCTATCAAGAAACAATATATTAATTAAATTGCTATGGCGTGAATTGGCTGATGAATGACAAGCAGTAAGATGTTTGATACTGGAACATTTTACTCCTGGCACCACCAGAAGTGGTGCTAGTGCTGCAGATCATGAGCTAAATGGCTCTATAAATCTGTGTTAGCATCTCAGGTCTACGCCGTATAGCCGCGCGGTCTGAGGCGTCATGCTTCGGACCGGCGATACGGAATGCGCGCTGGTTCGAGTCTCGGGGAAAGAAATTTCTCATGAGCTTTCGACCGGTGTATGGGACCGGTGCCAACCCAACATCGTGAGGAAATTGGGGAGCTACAATGGGTAGCGTAATCCTGTCAGGAAAGCTAGCAATGACTGGGGGTTCGTCGTGCTGACCACACGTCACCCTATATCTGGTTGGATGATCGTTCACCTCTGCTTAGGCATGTGAACGTGAGGCCAGCAGCCAAGCTAGTCGGCTTTGGCTCTCTGGAGCTGTTACGCCACGGATTATTATTATGTGTCAGATTATGTAGCATCGATGATGTAATGTTTAGTCATGGTTGCCATTTATTACTTATCACACGGAACGTTGACGTTTGACACGGTATCAACAAAATGTGCATAATTAATATTTTCATACCTGTTATTTTTATTTATAATTCATTACTCTATTATCAGAAGAATGACCATAAATTTTAATTTTTTTGCTGGGGAAAATATTCATTCCTGAGAAGTACATATAAAGAAGACGGTTTAGGATTATTATATGTAAAATATAAAATTTCTCTGGTTATGAAAGTATCTTAGTATTTTTTGAATAATCAAAACTAGGAGATTATAATGGGCTGGTCACATAAATAGTATGGAGAAGCAAGAAATGCATATAGAATATTTGTGAAATGGGAAGGACAAAGGTGACGTGAGGTTATAACATTAAGATGGGTTTCAGGGAAATATGTTGCGAGCCTGTAATTCAAGCAATTTGTAGTAATTTCATATTTTATATATTAATTGTTTTCTGTATTTTGTTAAGATACCTTTGAAACTACATGTTAACAATTAAGGCTAATTTGTCTTAAATTTAGTGCTTTTTAATATCTAAAAGTCTTGGAAATGTTCATGATTATTTGATATTTCATAGCTTTTGCACACTTACCTGCAAAGCAATATCCTGAACACTGTAATGGGTTTTTATGTTGACAACTTCAATTTACAGCCCTTCTCAGGAAATTAGTGAAAAAAATTACTACCGTTATGAAAACCGAATGTTCATTGCCGTATTTACAGGAGTCTGAGATTAGTCCTCGTGCTCCAAACTTAGTTCCTTAAGGTCTGTTTAATATTATATTCCTGTCTACCTATATACCTTCCCAGTTTCCTTAAGAATTTCCAAACCATAACTGTATATGCATTTATCTTCTTCCAATATGTGCTATATTCGCCCATTCTTCTCATGCTACTTGATTTTATAATCCTAATAATTACATTTAAAGAGTTGAAACTTTGAAGCTACTCATTATGCAATTTTCTCCAGTTCTGACCACTTCATCCATCTCAGATCCAAATAGTCCCCTTCACACCATTCTCAAACACCTTAATCTGTATTTTTCTTTTTCTGTGAGAAACTAAGTTTCACATCCACGAAACACAACCGTTTGTATGTTTCAGTATATATTTTTCAAATAACAGACAGAAATACAAAATATCGTAATAATTTTGAATATTTCATAAAAAAAGTTGCATATACAGTAACTTAGATCGATAGAGAGACTGGTGTTCCTCCCTAATTATAATGGACAGTCCATTCAGTGGATGAATTACTTGGTTTACTGTATAAGTTACTTTAATTATGCATGTGAAATAAGGGTAGGCTACTTACATTTTTCTGTAATTATGATACTTTGTTACAGCCGAAAGTTTAAACTTTCCCAGACTGAAAGATTTTGAGACAATCGAACGAGTAGGAAAAGGCAGTAAGTACAACATTCTGCTAATACTTCGCAAATAAGCTGTGCATTTCTCTTTTTTATAAAACAAACCCCTGATTTTATGAGCGTGTGTAGGTCAATAGGCAAATAGTAATAACAGCTGCTCTGGATGAAAGAAAAATACATCTTAGTTGCAGTTTAATAACACTTGCAGGAGTTTGATTTATATAAACATATCTGCATAAATATAAAAGATTTTAAACAGTTGTAACTGATTCTGTATTAAAATCAGGGCTGTGGAGTCGGTACTAAAACCTCCGACCCCTTCATTAAATCTCAATATGTATTAATAAAGCTACTAAAATTTTAAATGGTACCATAAGAGATTTCATCACCACGTGAATCATCGAGCTACTTTTTAGATTTATAACCTATATTTAAATATAAGTCTAATGGTTTTTGTAAAATTTGTTGATTTGTGGGAAGTTTGTATTCTTAAGGTACCGGAGCCAAAGTTACAAACCACTGTTCCCACACCATGTAGTTCAACGCGTCATTGAATCTCCCTAAGTGTGAGGCCACCGGCGGCTCACACGGCAGCGAAAGTGTTAAAATAGTATTTTCTTTAGAGTTTATATCGAGGTCGGAGTCAGTACAATTTTTCTGACTCCAACTCAACCTAAAATTGCTTCTACTCCGACTCCACAGGCCTGATTAAAATAACTGTGAACAGTTGCTAACTAATCATAAACTTTTTAAACTCAGAGCCAAATCTTGATTAATAATGTTTGACCGAAATCATGCATCAGAATTACCAGATTTTTTTTTATTTTAGAATTCATAATCAGTGGTTGAAGATGATTAGAATTAGCTGAATTGTTAATGTCTAAACTACATCAAACAGCAAAAATTAATTTTTAAATTGTGTGTGAACAGGGTTGCTAATTAAACAGTTCAGAGTTTGTGTGACTCAAAGAAAGATACTCCAAAGAAGATTCAACACGTGTATTATAGCAGTAAGACTTATGACAAGAACAGAGTTAAATGGAATTTTATCTTTGTCACTGTAGGGCCATTCATAGTAGCCACTTGAAATTATGTCCTTTTATCATCAAGTTCCACAGCTACGACACTGGTGGCTAGTGCTTTTAGTGCTTGAATGGTAGACCAAAAAAGAACGTGTATTCAAAACTTTCCTTTTATTCTAGATTCCACAAATACAGCTGACTGTTGTTGAGCAAATGGCAACTTGAATAATAACTATGTACTATTACAGCACTACCGCCACGGTCGTCTAGCGGTCAGAACGCTAACCTTGTAAGCCTGGGGTCCCGGGTTCAATTCCCTGTGGTGCTCAGATTTATAACTTGTGTTGGGCAAGGCCGTGGTCTAGGCATCACGGAGTTCTCCTCCGGGGGTTTCCCCGGTTTCTCCGTGGCATCTCAACAATTACTCCATTCACACACAGAAGAATGCAATGGCAAACCTCTTCTGGATCATCTGCCAAGAAATTATATGAAACAGGTCTCTTTCAACCTGAAGAGGATGGAAGGATCCCGTTCATACAGACAGAACACTAATTAATTAATTATTGACTGTTACAGCATTTGGAAAAGTTTACCTAGTTCGGAAGACTGGTGGTGTCGACAAAGGCGCATTGTATGCCATGAAGATAATGAACATCGGGAAGACTATGTCTAAAAAAATTGACCCTGAACAATATAGAATAGAATGTAATATACATGAAAGAGTTTCTAATGTTCCGTTTCTGGTGGGACTCTATTATGCGTTCAAGACAGAAACAAAATTGTGCCTCGCACTGGGTAAGTACATTGAAAAAAAGCTATTCTTGATTCCACTGTGTTTGAGAGGTGATGTAAATAATATGGTTGGGATGGTTGGGATGGTTGGTCGGTGGAGCAGGAAAGGACTTGCCAAAACAGAGCACACACATAGAACTCTCATAATTTTAAATAGGTGCAGGTTATAAATAGGAATTTTTTGTATGAGTCCTTTAGGTGAGGTATAGGACCAACTACAGCTGTTAACTGTTATGGTTAATCATAAGCTTTTAATTGAATAAAAATTTTCTTGGATATTATCCATCGTCTAGTAAATATAAAACGTAAAACGACGTTTCGGAGATGGGACTCTATCTATGGACGGTGTGGTAATGCCTTTTTATTCCGGGACTTTTACTTTTTACTTTGTCCGGAGATAGGGATTAGATCTATCTAGTGGGCCCAACTGTGTAGGAACCTGAAGACGGAGATAGAGTCCCATCTCCGAAACGTCGTTTTACGTTTTATATTTACTAGACGATGGATAATATCCAAAGAAATTTTTATTCAATTGACTCTTCACCATCGTCAAGAAATTTTAGATTTGATACATAAGCTTTTAGTAATATACCCTTTGGGGCATAACTGTTTTTGTATATTTAGAAGTGTCAAGGGGTACACCTGCATCTTCGAATGTATACAAGTATTTGCCTGACTAAAAACCACTGATTTTTCATAACATAGGCCTAAATTACCTTTCGTCAGCAATAAAACCTTATCTGAACCCATAATCTCCACTGATGATTCCTGTACATTGACAAATTCAGTTCTCTCATGCAAGTAAATGGTTAACTGCTAACGAGCTATCTCTAAGTTTAGATAAAACAAAATTTTGAAAAGTTTGTAACAAATGATTTATCATAATGTGCTGTAATTCACATTCAATTGACATTGTTTTGAATCATTTTGACAAACACATTGTGTGCTGTGGTATAAATACATTGTTTTACTGTGTAAATAAGGAGTCACGTTCATATAGTACTGATAAGTGTATACAGTAAGCCCATAAGTGTATGTAACGAACTAACTAGATGGCTTACCGAACCCGAAGGTTCATCACCGAATTAACCAAAGCCCACCACCGGTCCCTGTTTTGGACCAACAAAATCCAGTCTCCTTCAACTCCTATCTCCCGTAGATCCCACTTGATATTATCCTCCCATCTATGTCTAGATCTCCCCAGCATTCTCTTCCCTTTAGGCTAAGTGTGTATAACTAAACATAAATTTTGTTGTCATTTAAATGTTTTTAGAACACGTAGTGCATACAATCACCACCAAATGCACCACAGCAGGAAGGGTGGGGGTAATATTTTCCCCATCTTTCAAACATCACGTGCAGAGTCCAACTTGGGCTACAGATACTGTTTGGAAATAGATGTTCAGCGTGACTCTGTGTACAGATTTCAGTTCATCCTCAACTGGCAGAAGAATCCATTGCTACTTCTTAAACTATTTTTCAGTTTTCAGTCATCTGCAGAACATCACCGTCCAGCAACACGTTTATCGAATTCGATAAAAATCTCATTAGTATTCCGTGATCTCCAGTAGCCGTAAACGTTATTACAATAACAAGATTGCATTATTATCGTTTCAGACTATTATCCTGGTGGTGATATGTGGACTCTATTAAGGAAAAGGGCAAAGCTTACAGAGAACGCAACTAGATTGTATATAGCCGAGATAGTCATGGCTGTACAGCATCTGCATCGGGTAGGTGTACTTTCTCACTCTAATAATCTCCAATAAATTGTATAATAATGTAGTGTAAAACCTAAAAGTATTTAATTCATTGTGTGGCTACAGAATTTTTCAATTTCATTAAATATTTAATTTTTTCACTACATACCAGATCATATTTAATTTGTGTGCAAAAAGTCTAAAATAATAACAAAAGATAATTAATTGCATCTATCCCAGAATTTCAGCTTATTTTTACAAATATTTTTTTAGGTTTAATTAGTATAGTCTCTGATTAGTACTGTCATTTTTATTTAGTCAACAACTATTTCCTCTGTACAGTACTTTGTTGCCACAGAAATTGTACAATATTCACATTTAACATAAGCATTTAGAATTTAACAAAATTCCAAAACATGCTAGCTGCTATGGGAAATCTATTTGTTTGCATTTCCTCTCAGAATGGAATATGTAAACCAAGGACCTGGCACAACGCATGGTTCCAATACAACTGTTTTTACAAATACCGTCATGTTTCTTCACTCCTATGAACCATTCAGAGAATTTTCTTCATATTATTTATTTATGAGTGTTTACAGTAGGAATCTAGTGGTCTATTTAAAACACTTATGCCTTCCCTTCAACAGGCCAGTACTCATATAATATTAATTATTAGCGGAGTGCTCATTATATTACTGTGAGGAATTTGACAAATACATATCACTGAAAATCATAGAAATATATCATTTTTATTATCTCTAAATCCAACATCTTTGCCGAGACTCAAACCCCATAACAGTTTTCGTGTCTGTAACCTTAGTTCCTGTAATCTCCTTACCGAAACAAACAACTTTAGTCTCAGCGACATTCTATATTGTGCTTAGTTTCCAGGTTATAGAAATAACCGTTATCAGGTTTCAAAACCAGGACATTTTTTCTGAAGTTATGACCATCTTAAAATCTCTTCCATATTTCAGAGAATAAGCATATTAAGTTTAGTGCAAATTGGTATGACCATTCTTGAGCTATAATGGAACATACACACAAACACAAATTTTATCTTATAATATATATCTCTACATAAATGCACTGCTGGATTAATCAGAAGGAAAACAAGGCTGTCGCCTAGTATGGCAAAAAACTGAATGAATAAAAAAAAAGAGAAGTAGGGTAACAATTTATTAAGGAAAGAATAAATGTGTTCACATTCCCTATCTTGTAATATGCTGCTGACAATACTTGGTATCAAACAGTTGATATGTGTAGTGACAAACAGTGTTAATTTTTTCACTACATACCAGATCATATTTAATTTGTGTGCAAAAAGTCTAAAATAATAACAAAAGATAATTAATTGCATCTATCCCAGAATTTCAGCTTATTTTTACAAATATTTTTTTAGGTTTAATTAGTATAGTCTCTGATTAGTACTGTCATTTTTATTTAGTCAACAACTATTTCCTCTGTACAGTACTTTGTTGCCACAGAAATTGTACAATATTCACATTTAACATAAGCATTTAGAATTTAACAAAATTCCAAAACATGCTAGCTGCTATGGGAAATCTATTTGTTTGCATTTCCTCTCAGAATGGAATATGTAAACCAAGGACCTGGCACAACGCATGGTTCCAATACAACTGTTTTTACAAATACCGTCATGTTTCTTCACTCCTATGAACCATTCAGAGAATTTTCTTCATATTATTTATTTATGAGTGTTTACAGTAGGAATCTAGTGGTCTATTTAAAACACTTATGCCTTCCCTTCAACAGGCCAGTACTCATATAATATTAATTATTAGCGGAGTGCTCATTATATTACTGTGAGGAATTTGACAAATACATATCACTGAAAATCATAGAAATATATCATTTTTATTATCTCTAAATCCAACATCTTTGCCGAGACTCAAACCCCATAACAGTTTTCGTGTCTGTAACCTTAGTTCCTGTAATCTCCTTACCGAAACAAACAACTTTAGTCTCAGCGACATTCTATATTGTGCTTAGTTTCCAGGTTATAGAAATAACCGTTATCAGGTTTCAAAACCAGGACATTTTTTCTGAAGTTATGACCATCTTAAAATCTCTTCCATATTTCAGAGAATAAGCATATTAAGTTTAGTGCAAATTGGTATGACCATTCTTGAGCTATAATGGAACATACACACAAACACAAATTTTATCTTATAATATATATCTCTACATAAATGCACTGCTGGATTAATCAGAAGGAAAACAAGGCTGTCGCCTAGTATGGCAAAAAACTGAATGAATAAAAAAAAAGAGAAGTAGGGTAACAATTTATTAAGGAAAGAATAAATGTGTTCACATTCCCTATCTTGTAATATGCTGCTGACAATACTTGGTATCAAACAGTTGATATGTGTAGTGACAAACAGTGTTAGAGTCGGCGCAATAGTTTTTGGCCGGTGGAATTTTCAAGCGGAAGGCTAGGAGCGATTCACTTGTGCGATGGTATAATGCTGACTGCACCGAGGAGCTTATCGGACTGAACGCCCAAACGAAAGAGATACACTGACGTTGCCACCTCAGGTACACAGACTAGGCCAGCTCCGGAAGCTTCTCCACTAGCCAAAAACTACTGCGCCGACTATACCAGTCCTTACTTTTTCGGACAGATTGCCTCATGAATAGACACCGTTTGTAATTTAGTCATCACAAATTGCACCTGTGATAATGGGTTTGCTTTCAATTCTGTTTAGTTTTTAGAACAATGACAATGTATTAATATTTAGTATCACATTATTCTCTTCTGTCATGTAAATACAATTAGAAATTATGTATACAGAATCTTTATTCAAACTAATGCACAATATTCACTTCACAAGTCAATTAAATGTGTGTGTGCGGGGGGGGGGGCTGAAGGTTTGCCCAGCCCTGTGCACATAAGTAACAAGGTAAAATGAATTTGGCCCCGTGATATTTAATTTAATCGATATGTTCCATCTTTTATCCCAAATGTGTAAGGAGTTTATTAATTTATTTCTTTCAGATTGGTGTAATCCACAGGGACCTCAAACCAGCAAATATAGTGATTGACTCTCGCGGTCATATAGCAGTCACAGACTACGGACTATGCAAAGAATTTCCTCCTGATTCAAAGGTAAATTTAATATCCGCCTTCAATGCTGTTGAGTTTACTTATAGACACATATAAACTGTAAATATATGAGTTATGTAGACTGCCATCTGTCAGGCAGTACTCTATAATTGAGTGAAATCCAGGTACGAGCACCTTAAAAAGTAGAGAGGTTTCATGTGCCTGAAATTGGACCGTACATGTTTAGGCCGTTTCTCCTGTACCAAAATAAGGGAAAGTAAATGTAAAGCATGTCACAAGTTCTTTGAATTTAACAGGGTAAACTCAAAAGTGTATAACTATTAATACTTTATAGCTTTTTAGGGGTTTTATAACTGGGTGGCTTAGGGAACCCAAAGGTTCATCACCAAATTAACCAAAGCTCTCCACCGGCCCCTGTCCCGGCCAACAAAATCTAATTGTCTTGTGTCTCAAAAATAGTTGCTTATTCAATTACGAGACCATTACCATACTAGTTAGTATTATTATTATTAAGTGTTCTGTCATACGACAGGTCCATTGCTCTGCCCAAAAAGAGCTCTCCA